TCCGATCTCCCTAAACCCTCTAAACCCTCTAAACCCTCTAAACCCTCCTGCTTAAGGGCTTAGAGAGTTTAGAGGGTTTAGAGGGTTTAGGGTGCTTAGTGGGTTTGGGCTCCCCGCCCGGCCCCCCAAACTATCTAAACTATCTAAACCTTCCCCCAGCAGACCCAGAGCAACACATTATACAGAAAGGTTTCTCTTACATAAATCTATAGATTTCTTGTGTCTATACAATCTGTTCATTCGGGTTATCCTTGCACACGGTTTTGCAAATGAGCTTGTAGAACTGTAGAACACAAGAGGCGGTAGAATAAAAGCCTATAGTATATTTCAGGGATTGGGGTTGTGTAAGACTATATCGGGCCGTGTTTGTTTGGATCCTACAGGATTTGTAATTCAATACACTCCATAAATAAATCTTTGCTGAAGCCTTTAGCTGGCTATATGGTTTGTATGAACTATAATGGTTTCAGTATCAACCTCAAACTGAGGTCGTTCGGGATGTCAGGGCTCGTGTGTTCCAGATATGTAGGGGCTGCATACGATCAGGTTCCGAGACTGGGGCGTGGAGCGGTTTGAGAGAAGGGTCCTCAGGTTTAGGCCTTGGTCAAACAGAGTTGCTGGGACACTTTTGTTTCGGGCTTTAGCATGGATCCGAGTTGCCAGGGCTGTTTCAAGCCATACGAGATCGTAATTGTAGGACCATGCAGACTGAACTGCATTCTACGAAGTGTCTATATAGAGGACCGATGAACTGGAACTGCTGGGATAGAGCATTGGTCTCGAAATTTTAGAAGCTCGATGTGATTCCGAGGCACCCGTGATACCTTCAGCAGCTGCTGCATGCGTGGATGTCTCCAGATCATCGAAGACGAAGGTTGCTCGAGCACCCATGTACCCCGTTTAGCAAGAACCAGATATATCGCCAGGCACATCCTTTGCACGTAAACAGCATCGATTTCATTTCCTTTCTCTAAATCCCGCGGTTATAAGCCCCTGTAGAAGCGAATGGATGCCCATACAAACGAAACCGGGCTAATCTCACTAGAAAGGTCAGGGATAGGGAACATAGAGGGTCGTGTATATAATATTATATATATATATTATAGTTATATTTATTTTCATGTTCATATTCATGAATAAATTAACTCGATCTATACCCTTGGCGAAGTATACATACATCATATAAACCCTAGAATAGCTATACATATTTATCACCCCGTTATATAAGACCTGTAGACCCCTATACAAACCCTATGGGACCTATATGGATCCTCATCGAACTACGAAACCCATCCCTGTAGATCCGTCCTGCTGCAAAGAATGTTGGAATCCTCCACACGTTTGCTTGTCCGGTCACCAAGTGGGTTAAAATATGATCGTTTGGTGGAGTGCCTGGAAACTGTAACCCAGCTCGAACATTCCATTCCGAAGCAGATGACAAATTCGCCATCCTTGGCCTTCAGGATGCTATGAAGTAACAGCCTTGGTTGCCACAAGGTTTTGTCAATAACTCTATATAATTACCTCGGGTCTTTAGAGAACTCTACTAGATATTTAAATAAGTCTTTCGATGAAATAGGATACGGACGTAATCCTGCATGACCCTATGCACTCCAAAACCTCGCAACTATATCAATATGTAAAATAAAAAATAGTTTATAGACTATTATAATTGGGACCATGCAGGATTTCGTCCATCACAAGTATGTCGGGATAAGCTAGGCATACCAATACATCATAATCTCAGACAGCCTCCTATCTAAGCCTAGAAGCGCCATCCCTGCAGGAGTGCACAGGTCCATGGGATTCCGACATGATTTCCCAGACCCAGCTTCACTAAAGCCATCCCAGAGTTGGAGTTCCAGGGCAGCAACACGGTAGCCTGCCATCCCCAAACACCTGGAAAGAGAAGCCACCCCAGCGAAGATCTCCAAGGCGTTGTAGACCTGCAGAGAAAGGGTTTGGGTCCGGTTTTGCACTGTCGTTTAAACAAGTCTGGCCTCGTCCAAGTCCAATGCAGTATTGAAGACGAGGAGCACAACGGCGTACAGTAGAACCTTACAGGTTGAAGGTTTAAGGGTTTAGGGTTATGCAGGGTTTTAGGGCCGAGCTAGAAAGCCGTCTCAAATCTCACCCAGCCCAGGCACCCCTGGAACATTCAGCTCCAAGAGCCGACGGAGGAGGCTATCCAATTGACATGGGGTCATGACAAAGGGGGGCCCCGAAGGAAGCCCATCAAAGCAGCACTCCAGTTCGAGCAAGATGCCTGCTTCAACATGGGTGCACAATCAGAGAACGACTGCACTCACCACTCCGGGCACCATGAACCCTTGCAACTTGCAACCTTGCAGGCACGGGGGGGCAAGCCTGCGGCCGGGTCTGCGCCTGCCGACGGAGCGAATCTGTGCCGCGCTCTCCAGGAAGAGCTCATCCGGGCACCTGGCAAGGGCAGCTTTGGGCATTTGGGTCATTCGGGTATACAGAAGTAGATCTAATCGATTGGGGGTTGTGAGTTTGTGCAGGCAGAAGTGAAAGCAGACACATACAGTTCCTCCTGCTCAAAGACGCCATGTGTGCACATGCATGCAAATAAAGGCACCCAGATTGTTTTGCCGTTGCCCCTCCTGAAGCAAACTGCGTCATGACTCAGCCGATCCCCAGCCGATAGAAGCCATCACCAACTCTAAGCACAGGCTCTAATGGAGAATGCTGCCACACACACAAGACAGTGCTGTCAGGTCTATAATATATTAAATATGTTAATATGTAGCAAACTTTTGTGTCGTCGTGAAACCATGGCAGCACATCCCTACCCGTGCCCGGCGAGGGCTTTGCCCGAAGCATCACAGAAGTCGTGCTGTGATGCGAAACACTTGCGATGGACTGTATGTAGCTGCTGTAGCAACCACGGCATAATTAGCAAGCAGCCCCTAAAAAGGCCAGCCCGGAAACACACATGTAGCATGCCAGCACAAGGATTGCCAACTATATATTTAAATAGTGCACACCAGTAGACGATGCATGAGATCAATAATCACTCTACTCCTCAGGGCATGCCACTGGGTTCCACCGCTTTCCATGGAAATTCGTGCGGAGACAAGTGCCGCAACCGAGCACAGACCACCGGCAGGACGAACACCCGAGGATCAACCGGCCACACTTCGAGTAGCCGGAGCGACGCTTGCGATCAGGGCTAAGCTTCAGCCGGTACTCACACCCATCATCATCCGAAGGATTCGCACCAGCACTCTTCGCCTTTGCTTTAGCCTTCGTCTTCGGCTTGGCTTTGCCAGCCGGCTTCACTGCACAGGCCTTTGCTTTGGCTTTCGCCTTCGCCTTCGCCTTCGCTTTCGCCTTCGCCTTTGCCTTTGGCTTTGGCAAAGGCGACTCGTCGGCCTCGGTCTCGCACGTGGCCTTGGCCTTTCGCTTGCGACAGGAAGGCACAGCCTCTGCAACCTCCGGGTCATCCTTGGTGTTCTTGGGCTTCCGGCCACCACGCTTTTTCTTGGGCTCCTGCTCCTCACCCTCGCTCTTCTTGCGCCCCCGCATGCGGCGGATCGAGGCACGGATGGTCTGCCGAAGGTGATTCTGAGCCTCCACGCACACCGCTGGAGCCTCACCGGAGTCCCGGCTCGGAGACTGTGGCTCCTGCACATAATCCCCCCTCTCCCCACAGCCCCCATCCTCCCAAGCAAACAGACCATGCGTTCCGAATCACAACATATATCTACAGAGATTGCACCCGCGACGAACTTGTTGCTGAACCCAAGCCTGTTTGATCTTCTCTGGGCTCGAATCTACTTCGATCGGAGCAGGCTCCGGAACTTCTGTGGGCAGCTCCACCATGGTGTCCTCCTGCAACTTGCGATTGCATGAATATGCAAAAACACACAGATAGTCGAAATGCCTTGAAAACACGTTCCTACCTCAATGAATAGGGATTCATATCTATATGAGTTGCACAGATGCAAAACGTGCGTCGATCGATGAACCATGTAATCTATCTTATAACATAATATAGTATGATATAGTATAATATAATATCATATCATATAATATAACATTATATACAAAAATAGAAAATCCAATATAATACAACATCATGTAATATAATATAATATAATATAATATAATATGATATAATATAATATAATATAATATAATATAATATAATACAATATAATATAATATTATATTATATTATATAATACAATATAATATAATATAATATTATATAATATAATATAATATAATATAATATAATATAATATAATATAATATAATTTAATATAATATATTATTATATAATATAGAATGTGGTAAAATATAATATATATATATATATACAAGTATATATAATCCTTTAGTTAAATCTATCTCTGTATAGGAAAACATGCAGGAGGGCAGAGATATCCACATACATATCTTTCTATATATGTTCTACTCAACACATGCAGATACCTTACAAAATCCTCCAGGTTTCTTACATGTTTCTTATGTACATACATGCACAAATACACATACCTCCATACTGCATATACCTACCTGCATAAACACCTGCATACTATACCTACATCCGTACAGCTGTTCTTACACTATCTGTATACACACTGGTCACTGGCCCAATGCTCCTGATCAGGAGGCTTCTTCCAATCCGGTGCACGCTCGGTCTCGCCAAAATCAAGCTTCTTCTTGCAATCGGGTGTTGGGACCATATCACCTGCGAGGTCTGTTGGGTAGCCGGGGATGGTATACTGGCTCTTGCAAGTCAGGGATGTAACTATATAGTGGAGCTAGGGTGGGTTGGATCGAACTATCACGAATCGGGCCTTTAGGCTTCGAAGCTTGCTCAGGCGTGCCCATCCGCACCAGCAAGCGCTCGTGACGAGCAATTTCCGGACTCATGTCGCCGCCGCCCTCCTCCAGCGCTATCTGCTGCAACACTCGCTGCAACTCTTCCTCGGCATCAGTGGGGAGACCAGCCACGTAGGAAGCCGGCGTCTCCACAGGAGGGGAAGCGCCAAGAGCGACTGTGCTCGGAAGGGTCTGCAAAGACGATTTCGTCCTGTAGCGCCAGCAAGGATCCTTATGGACCTGAGCATCCTCTTGGGAATCCAATACCACAGCGCCGACGCCACAACCATCGTCATCGGCACCCTTGGCCACGGAACTCGCCTTGGAGCTCTTAGGCTCGCTCGAGCACGAGTCCTCCGCCTCGTCCGGATTCCTGGCACCATCGTCTGTCTCATACCCTTCCGAGTTCTCTTCCACCACTTCATCATCCTCCTCCGCTTCCTCTTCTCCTCCCTCGTCATCGTCATCGCCATCGTCACCATCTGTGTCAGCCTGCTCGTCCCGAAGACTTTGGATGCTTGCAAAAAGCTCCCGGACTTCCTTGGCCTCGGAAGTGGAAACCCCAAACAAATTTTAACTCACCTTGAAGGAATCCAGAAACACAACCGGCTTGGGCTTAATCTTAATTGATCATAAGAAGCTCGTGGCTTCTGGCCGCGCTTCTTCGAATCCTTCTGGCGTCTCAGTGCGAAGCTAAGAAGCCTCCTGAGATCCCAAGCATCACAATAGTATTGGCGGGCTCCCGTCGCCGGAACACAACTCATCTTCTCGTAGAGATTCTTCACCTCATCTAGCTTTATTATTCGGTTTATCCTTTATATAAGATTTCTTATGGATTCCATCAAACGACTGGGCCCAAATACCTGCTTCGATATTCACGGGCAAGTAGCGGCACTTTCCAGCTTCGTAATGGGGACCTTCTTACCACTCAAGACCTTGTAATGCGCTACCATCACCCGAAGAGCCGTGCAGTTCATCTCCATGGCCTTGGTGGATATAGGATTCTCCGCCTTATCTGCATCATCCCTCTCCGCAGCAGGCGGGAAATCCAGCAAGCCCTTCTTGACTCGGAACCGCTTCCTAATCAACTTCTCCTTCTCAAAGGCTTTCGCCAACATTTTGGCGGTTGCCATGGCCCCTACTGAACCACTGCAAAACCTCACAGTCCTTGATCAAGACCTGGCGAGATTCCCGAAAAGTTTCTCCTGAAAGCTCTAAATTATGCAATGCAACCCATCAGAGCATAAGCCCTGCAGCTCGGCATGCACAAGCGAGCAAGGCGGCACCGGCAAAGTATATGGCAAAAAGCCATGCATCATCTGCCGCCACATCCTGCAAGTTGTGCATCTTTTCAGGAACATGTATGTATGTGTGTGTGTGGTAAGGATATAGACATGCAAGGGTCTAAGGGTCTGCAAATCTCTTGCGCACCTCTAGCTGCAATAGTAAATAAATGTGTATGTGTATATATATATATATATGTACATGACATGTCTTATACCATTGATGTACACATACATACTCTATGTACTGATTATATCGGTATACTGGACTGGACGCTGAACTGATCGGTCCTCTAAGGTAAAGCTCCGTCCATCGAGCCATCGCCATGTGGCAAAAAGCGTGATGACGCACGGGGGTTTTCTCTCTTAATGTATATGGGGTTCATATAGTCATTTAATCTACGTAATCTCGCAAAGCCCATGCAGCCTACTATCTGCTGCCCTCGGATCCTTGTCGGATCCTTGTAAGGCCACGATATCCCATCAGATCTGAAACCCAACTTATTACAATATGTTCGATATCCCATCTATATCTGAACTCCAGCTTAATCAATCCAAGATTGTCCCAAGCCCTCGACTAAATTGCATGCAAACTGCTGAACTGGGCTCTGATCCACCATGGCTTGCTGCCTGGCGGGCCACAGCATGAGAAATCCTGCGTGTTTCGGTTCGCCTGGGAGCTTCGGGTACAGGATAGCAGGGTTTAAGGGTCTGCATTTTATGACTGATCCGGTACGGGCGAGGTCTTTTGAAATCCTCAAAGTACATAATGATGAACTTTGCCACTGTGATGCTTTTTAGTGCAACTCTCTGCAGTGACGGAAATAAGGGTGAACCACGTCACTGTGATGTATCATTCAGCAACTTTCTAAAGTTATACTTTATTAAGGGCAACTAAGGCGTTCCAGGTAAACCCTAAACCCCATGAGCCCCGGATATGGGGCTCTCTGCATGGAGGCTCTGACGAAGATTCGCCTCCGTGTCGCTCCACACAGGTGTCCAGCGGGGAATTCCTCGTGCAAGGGCGTATGATGGCGTAGGCTTTGGGTTTAGGGTGCTTCATGTCTTGTCCCGAGCCTTCAAACGAAGTTTAATGATGGCACAGACCACAAAGTACGTCATAGTTAGGCACTTGGCCCTTAAAAACAACTACACACTCCTTCATCTATGCACCAGAAAAGCAAAGGACGACAGCCGCACCCTAAACCCTACATTAGACATGTTAAGGCTCGATCCCCTTCAATAAGAACCATAAACCCCTATCCCCGAATTCAAGGCTCAGGAGGCTTGGATGTTGCTGCAATATAGGGGCATAAATAATTACCTATACTAGTTTGGGGGGCTCCTTATTATGATTGTAATAAAGGACCCCAAAACCCTATTCTAATGCTGAAGGCCCTGTATTATGTGTATCGAACTCGGTGGTGGCAGAGGTGCGTCCAATGAGCAGAGCAGCTATCTCCAGACGCAACAGGGCTTTTCGCGGACTCTATCTACAACACTGACAAGCCTAAAGCCCAAGCCAAGTCCCATAGACTAAGCGTATATCCTAAGCTCCTACCTTACTACGGGCTGAGCCCGTAGCCTCAGCCCTAGACACGACGCCGAAGTTCGTGCAAATATTGCATCTCGTTGCAGTTTGGCGGACCTGACGACGCCCACCTACACCATCCAGCCAGGTGGGAAGCTCTACCTGAAACCGGGAATTGCAGAACTAACTTCTAAATTCCGGTACGAGGCCAAAACAACAAACCCTAAACCCCTAAAACCCTGAACCCTAGACCTAAGGCCCCTAAACCCTAATAACTAAGAAACCCTAAACCATCCTAAACCCTCATTAGGCCGTGTCGGGGCCGAACAGGCGAGGTAATGAGGGCTTCTCATCGTAGGAGCAACGGTTTAGGGTTTAGGGTTTAGGGCTTAGAAGTCTAAATTGGGTTGCTGGTAAGGAACTTGACTTAAGTTACGGTAACAATGGGGTTCTGTTATGTAAGGGGTTCCTTATTGTAGGGACTTAGTTTAAGTTACCATAACGGGGTATATAGTACGTAGTATTTGGGCCTTATTGTAGTAACTTGACTATGGTCCTTAACAGTAACCCAGTAAATTCCTAAACTAAGCTCTAAACTCCAAACTCTTCAGGTCAAAAATCATTTACGTGTTTAAGACCAGGAGTGTTAGGGCTGTTAGGGTTTAGGGGGGTGACTGCAGGAAATATGCCCCCAGGTCTATCATGAACTGCCAATCGGTGCACGTGTGCATCAGGTTTCTTCGGACCCCAACTTCAAACCGCGGTTTAGGGTTTGGGGTTTAGGAGGGTTTAGGGTTTCGTTTAGGGAGGGTTCAGGGTTTAGGATCCCCTTCACATTTTCTGGAAGCCTCGTACCCCCAGGCCCTTAGGCGAAGACGGAACATTCGGGCCCGCCTGTATAATTTCTCTGCTTTCAGGAGTTTTGGCATCCTGTGACAGAGGTTCGAAATCTATTGGGAGCCTTTGTCCCTTAGCCCCAAACCCTTCTTGAACCGAGGTAGAGGAGAGGGAATCCCAGCGCTAATCATCCCCAATCCATTTTCCAACTTTCCGGGGTTCACTTTATGGTCTCCTACAATATAGGGGCCTTAATAATCAGAATAGGGTTTGGGGGGGTATAATATTAATAAGGAAACCCCAAAACCCTATTCTAATTCTTAAGGCCTCTACATAAACCCTAAACCCTAAACCCTAAACCGCTAGGTGCCCTTAGACAGCCTTGTTGAAGCCATGTTCGAGCCCAGGATCTGGGACGCCCCGCGTGATACTTCCTTGCTTAAAGGATCATGGGACTTAGTAACTGAGGGTTTAGGGTTTAGGGTTTCGAGTTTAGGGTTTAGGGTTTAGGGTTTAGGTTAGTTATAAACAAGGTCACTATACTTATAACCCCAACTAGGGTGCTTATAACCGTACTTACTAAGTCCCAAGATCCTCCAAGTAGGCCCTAAACCCTAAACCCTAAACCCGAAACCTAAACCTGATCTTGCCTGTTTTTTGCCTAAGTCCGAAGATCCTCCAAGTGGAGGCCAAGAGTTCTACGTCGTGGCAGAGCAGGAGCATGAGGCGCTGGAGTTCTGGGTAAAGGGTTTAGGGGTTTAGGGTTTTGGGGTTTAGGATTTAGGGTTTTGGGGTTTAGGGTTTATGGGTTTAGGGTTTAGGACTTCTGGGTTTAGGGTTTAGGGTTTAGGGTTTATGGGTTTAGGGTTTAGGGGTTTAGGGTTTAGGGGTTTAGGGTTTAGGGGTCAAGGGTTAAGGGTTTACGGTTTAGTCCTCCGGTCTAGGGTCTGGAGTTTAAGAATTTAAGGTTTGTTTTCGGGTATTCGGATCTTGGGCTACAGTGATGATGGTTGGGAAGAGGAGGAGGACATAGAATACTGAGAGGATAAAAGATTAAATGCTTGGCCAAAGCTAAACACTTCGGTACTAGGAGTGATCGCTCTATGGGTAGGCGGCTTACCAGGAATGATGGCTCTACTTGTTTGAGTGGTCTGCTTAAAAACCCATTCCGAGCTTTACACCCCTGACCTCCGAATCCGACAAGCCTAACCCCCGAGCGCTAGAACTACGGTTGATGATAGAAATCCTGCATTGCCCATAATAAGGAATGTACCATAATTCCCAAAGTCTAGGGTCCTTAAGGTAATGCAGGGTTTCTATCATCTACAGTGTCTCAGATATACTCATACGTGCACCAACATAGAGTCATACGTGAGCACCCTGCACACATGTAGTCTGGC